ATTTTAAACATGTGTTTTTCTGGTTGCATTCATCACAGTTGTCAATACAATTCTCGCATTGGCCCTTGTCGTTTCTGAAGTATTTTTGATCACAAATTGCACATATGAAAAGTCGGTTTATCATTTTCTTGCAATTTTCCATTTGTGTTGTTGATGTCGTACAAGTCCCGTTACTTGAAACTGAGAAACCGCCTTCACATTCAATACACACAGTTGCATTAATACAACTCATGCAATTATTAGGACAATTTAAACACGTTCCATCACTGAGATAGTGTTTGCTGGCACAGCGAATACACTTCCCATTGTCATTGTTGATGATGTCACAATTTTCTGTTTGATTACTCGACAAACCAACACATGTTTGATTTGATGTGAAATAATACCCGTCGTTACAAGACGCGCATTTCCCATTTGTTGCTATTTTACAATTCGAAATCTCACTGCAAACGCCATTTGATTCTGAAATGAAATTTGAATGATTTTGGCAACCCGAACAATATGTGTTTGGTGATGAAACACACCCACTTAATTCAAAAGCAATGCAATTACCATCACAATCTAATACTCCCATGTTTGAGCATTTTACACACTTTTTGTCATCACACACATCACACAACTCCCCATATTTAGACGAACATTCGACACAGGTGCCATTGTTTGAATAGTATGAATCTGAACATAATATAAACTTTTCTCCTATGACAATTTCACCATCAGGTAAAGGCGCACATTCATTCTTTTCATTCAAAATATGAGTATTTTTGCATGATAAACAAAATTCAAACGTTTCACAATACAAACAATGATCAGAGCATTTATGACACATATCAAATGTATTGTAATAGCCCGCTGAACATTTCAAAACTTTCTGTTTCGAGTACAATTCTACATTTGTTGTTGTCTTATTTATTGCAACACATTTTCCTTCTGAATTGTAACTGTAATTGTCTTCACATAAAACACATTTTTGGTTCACACATCGCTTGCAATTGTTTGGACAATCTAAACATTCATTTTGATACGGCTCTTGTTTAATATCACATTGTTCACACACTTTGTTTGTATTACCCGATGATATATTTAGACAAGAAACGTCGATTCCAAAACACATTCCATCTTTAAGGTACATATTTTGTTTGCATAGTACACACATATCATCCCCATTTATCGAAGTTTTGAATGCTCTACACTTAAAATAAGTGGAAAATCCGATTGTGTTACTGTTATTTGAATTTGGCTGAAAAAGATATTTGGATGAGATAAACAGTTTGTCGACTTTTTGTGTTAGAGTAACACTTGCACCATTAACAGATTTGTTGTCGATATAAAGAACGCCACTCTTAATATCTTTGAAGTGTGTTGAATAATTAGTTGTTATTGTTAAGTTCAAAACATCCACTTCTTGTTGAATATTTCCAATAAATATATCATTAATTACCAAATCGCTATTATTAGCAATGACAGTACACAATGTTTCGTTTAATGGGCAGTGATACAACTGATATTTGTAGTTACTATAATCATAAAAATTGTTTCTATTTAAAGTGCATTTCACCTCGGTTTCATGGTCATCTGTTGAATTGCAGACTCTCAATAATTTACCACCTCTAAGTAAACTCAATTGTTTTGCATTCCAATTGGGTTTGTATCGAAAAGAAATCACATCAATGCAAAACTCTCTATAATCGAATGTATATAATTCGTTTATACTATTCATTTCAACTGAACTATCATCAACATTTATCAAAGGATTTCTGTCAATGTTTGTTGTTGACAAATTAAAAAACTTAAGACTCTCGCTTTTGATAAACAAAAATCTACTTTTAACTGTAATTTGACTGTTATCGTTGAATATTAAATTTTCAAAAACATTAAGATTAATATACATTGTCAAATGATCGTAAACGACAACATCTATTGCAGTTATATAATAATTCCAATAGTTTGTATAAAGTTCACATCCACAAGTAAAATTGATAGATTTCCAATTTTCATTATTGATATTATCCGTCCTATAAACACTATCATAAATAATTAGATTCAGTTGATAATCGTATCCATACATTTTACAATCACTATCACTCATAAAAATTGATTTTTCTGTTATAAAATTTCCGTTTTTATACTCACAGATACATGGTGTATTTAACGAAGTTGATAAGTAAATTCTCATTCCGCATTTTGATAATTTGTTTGTTGATAACTCTAATAAACCTTTTAAATAAAACAACACCATATCATTAGTACTTGAAATTATATTATCAACAGTCAACCTATATTCAAAATATGTCTGAGAAGGTGAATTGACTTCAAGTGTTGTTATTTCAACTGGTAGTCGAAAGAATATATTTGTGTCTTTATTTAGAACAAGTAAGTTCAATTTTAGAACAGAATTTGTACTATTACTGGTCAATGTGTAACTTTTTTGAAGTGATATTATAATAGTATTCCATTCAAATAAAGTAAGTGTGTAAGTGTTATTATATTTTGAGTAATTTGACAAATCCAAATCAAGGTACGTGCTGTTATAATCACAGTCAGGGTATGTGAAGTTGCTTGAATATGTAAAATTACCATTGTTAGGTTCACATCCACACAAATTAGTATTAACACCTCCTGTTATTTCATTTTCTTTAAACAGCATTATACGTTTAAAGTTGCTTCTTGTACACACCACTTTTGCAACCCAACCATCCGAAGAACTTCTTTTTGTGAAAGTGACTCGACTTTCATCAACTTGAGAAGACCCGCTAAACAAGTAACGCGACCCAGAATAGACACCTTCCCAAGCTGACATATCACTGAAATTAAAATTGACTGTTTGAGAGACCAATCCATCAACATGAACATATGGAATGGAAGTCAGATTTCTTCTTAGCCAAATGTCAAAGTGCTGATCAATATCAGAAAATAGTGAAACCGAACGTAACTCAAGTCCTATTATGGTCTTTGTATAATCATAAACCTCTGTTCGACAATCTTGTTCTTTGTTGAAACAACCAAAAGATATGAAAAATGGTTGATATCTTGAATCTTCATAAAAGTCGTAAAGTGTATTTGGATAATGGTCTCTAATGAAAAATGTTTTAAAATTGGACATGTTACCTTGGAACCGAAAATACTTCTGATAATTTCGAGCATAAGTACCTGTATTTGCTAAAGTCTTCGTGTTATTTATACAACAAGTGTCATCAAAACTGAAATGGTCATAATCGTTTGTATCTGTTGAATATGACCACCCTTTTTTGGTACATGTTTCAAATACACCATAACTAATTGCACCATTCGAGTTTTCGCACCATTCATATGATGATGATATAACCGCAAATGTCAAAAACATTATAAGGAAATACATATTCATTTAATTTAAAAGTTAATCTTAAAAATTATGTTATACTTACTTTAAAAACATTCAATGGGAAAATGCTTTTTAAGGAATGATACATCTCATAATTTGTCTACTTTTTCGATATTTATTGAGTTAGTAATTATTCTATTTTTATTGTCGAATAATAAATTTTCAAATTAAATTTTAATAAAATAATAATGTTTTAAAGATCTTTTGACAATTTCGGTAACAATATATTATAATTTACCAATTATTTATCAACTGTTGGTTTATTTTTAATAAATAATTTAAATTATTATTACCAGAGGTTTCCAAAATTCAATTCTAATTACCCACGTCACCACATTTTTACAATAAAATTTTAATTAATTTATTAAAATTTGATGGTATAAAAAACTTTACTATTACAAATTATTACTATATTTTCAATTTGCTTTTTATTTGTTATAACTGTAAAAACCACTATTATTTAAACCAAAGAAAACAAAAATGAAAATACACATATAAAACACAATCAAATTGCCAAATCAGCTTAAAATTCAATTTAAAAAAAATAAATCAAAGAAAAAATAATAATCACCATAAAAAACAACGAAACTAAAAATTAACTTAATTCACCATTTAAAAAAACTAATAAATCAAAATGTCTAGTTTAATGGAACAAAGAAAAAGACGAATTTCTTGGGTCTCTGATAGACTGTTAGTTCCTGTAAATGACAAGTCTTTTAAATGTTTATTGTGTGGTATTATTGTTACAGCTAACTATTCAAAAGATCATTTTATTAATGAACATTCAAATATTAACAGTGATACTATTTCCTTAATTCTTGATGCTTACGAGTTGGGACTTGGTAGTACTGAGCATTTTTATAAAGTATTCAATAACAAAAAGTACAATTCAGAAATCAGAAAGGATTGCTTAGAGTTTACTATTTTAATGAGTAAAATTATGGGAGAAAACCATATATTACTAACAAAGGGAAAAGTACTTATTGGGATGTGTAAAAAATATAACGAATTGAGACAAAAAGATGGAGAAGCATTTGAAAATGTTTGAGGTTTAGTTATAACACATTGTCGAGAAGACAGATTACATGTGTAAATAATCTTAAAATGGATCTCGAAAAACTCTCTAAACAATCTAAATATTTGTCTTCAAATAGACGAAAGCAAGGTTTTTCAAAGAAAAAATACTATGTAATAATTTTGAGATTTGTGGATGAACAATTTGAAATATAAGAGTTTCTGGTATCTTCTTTTATTCTCGACAAACGTGCAACCGGGAAAAATATTCTTGATAAAGTGATTATTCAGTTAGTTGCATCTAAAATTGAAATTGAAAAAAAAATAAAGTGCATCACTACAGATGGAGCGGCTAATATGTGTGGTAAAGATAAAGGATTTGCGACTTTGTTTGTTGAGTACATGAGCAATAAAGGAATTAAAGTGTATAAATTTGGTGTGCTTGTCATAGAGTTAATTTGATGGCAAAAGTACTTTGTTCACATCCATTAATTTCTGACGTTATTTCATTTAGTCTTTCTTTGTCTCGAAAATTAGATGATGATTCCGCGTTTTTAAATGTTTGTTCTGGTGGCATTAAATGTTATTGTCCAACAAAGTGGACTTCATCAGCAGACGTGCTTGATTCCATATATAACAAAAAGAACAAATTGTAAATTATTTACTGGATCTTGATCAGGAAAAACAAATTATGAAAGATTTTAAAGTTCAGGATGTTGTTTCCATTCTTGAAGACAATCAATACGTTTTTCAAATCGGAATAGTACGTGACTTGCTTTTCATACTTAAAAAAACGATAGTAAGTCTTCAATTTAAGTCCCGTCTTTTATCAAGGGAATGGCTTAAAATTGCAAAATTAAATGACACACTATTATCACTTCAAAGAGAAATAAACAGTAATTATTATGGGTCATTTGAATCTTTAAAGGGGACTTTTTTTGATGAAACACCAAATAATAATACAAATAACATCACTTTGATTCCTAGTCTTTTGGAATGTGTTATTGTGAATTTGAAATTTAGATTTTGTTCTGTGTGTAATTCTGTAGTCAGTGAAAATATATATAATGAATGTGATTTTATTAAAAAATATGATGAAGATTTTGGCATGGATTTACAAGAAAAATATCCAGTTGAGGCAATGGTATATTTGTGGTACAATTTTGATGGTTTAATAACTGGTATTACTAAACTACCAGAGTGTATGGCTATTTATGGTAACGAACTCGAAATAATTGAAAATGAAAATGATATTGAATTGATTCGAGAAGAACTAATGGATTTGAAAGGATCGAATGATGAAGAACTTTTTCTTGACCTTTACGACTATAGAAGTTTGGTCTCCAAAAAACACCCCCTGCTTTTGGAAGCACTATTGTTATGTTGTTCGTTAATTTTTACTTCTACTTTATTTGAGTCGGCATTCAGTCGTCTCAAGTTGTACTTTAGACCACGAATGGGAATTGATGCAGTTGAAAAGATGATGTTGTTAACACATGATAAAGCGCTTAAAAAATCAGAAATTGTAGTTAATGATCTCGTCTTTGAAAATGAAGCAGTGGATGTTCTTTGAAAATGGCTATTGAATGTATTTATTGATAAAATGTATTCAGTGAATAAATGTGATATTAAATAAAGAACACGTTTGATAAGTTAATTGCTGTTTTTTCAAAAATTACCAATTTACAATTTTGCCATCATTCAAAAAAACAAAAACCAAAAACAATTATTTGTATTTTCATAGATATGTTTTTTATTGAAGTATTTTTTGTTTCTTTTTTTGTTTAAATCAATTTTATGTTTTTGCAAAAAATTGTACCAAATGAAATTATTGCCAAAAAAATAATTTGAAACCTTTTTACGTTCATTTTAAACAAAAAAATACCAAAAAACAGTTTTATAATCTTTTTGTAATTAATTGACAAATCAACACAATTATTACCAAAATTTTCTCTAATTACTTTTAAGCTGATTTTGGAAACCTCTGTTTATAACAATATCATCATACAATATGTTTATTATACATAAAATTTTAATTGAGGAACAACAACAATTACTATTTCAACGGAAAAGTCTTACTTTTTTAATACAAGATAAATATTGTGGCATTAAAAATATAACAAAATTTAGTTAATAATACCATATATAAAAAATTAAAAAAAATTTTTCAGTCCTCAAAAAGTTTAAATAACAATGTTTAAAAAATAATTAAAACTTTCAAAAACATATTACACGTTTGTTGTTATTATTACAATAATATGTTTTGTTTTCAATCAATTATTGTTAAATACTTCACAAATAACACATAAAAAACTTTATTGAATAAATACATCAAGAAGTATATAATATATATTTATAGAAATACATATTATATAATCAATGTATGAACATGGTATTTTTTGTTTATTGTTTTACTAAATGTGGTTAAATACAATTTGCAATTGGTTGCAGTATATATATATATATATAATGTTTTTATTTGTTCATCTTCAGAAATACAATTCGGGAGATTCTAAAGGATTAAGAAGGTATCACACGACTCCAACTGCGGCATACAATTTCCTGGACACGATGGTGAACAATAGAGTATATAGAACGCTTCTTTGTGGAAAGACCAATTTTTTGAATGGGCGCTGTTACCAAAAACACCAGATGAATTAATGAAAGAAGAAAATTTACATTGGCTGTATATGGAGAACACCGAAATATATTGTAATGTATTATATAATAACACATGGGTTCATATATTTTCTGGCGGTTGTAATAAGTATATAAAAAAATGGAAGATGAACACTAACTCGAGTCAAGATCCAATGTTTATTGATGATGATAACAACGATTTTCGAATGAGAAAAGAAGGGGAAATTTACAAATATAATTGTTGGAAGGAAATACCTTATGAAAATATCAGGATTAATAAACAAGACAGTTTATATAGTGTCTTGGTTGAGTTTTTAATTGTTACATGTCTTGTTGTTTGCTCATTTTAAAATAAGTGACAAGTCATTATTTATTTTTATAATAATGTTAATGATAATATCATTACTACAAATATAAATACAGATTTTAATCATTACAGCCATATTAATTAAGAGTGGGAAAGTGTTATATTTGGTCGATTAAGAAAGTGATTTTTCTTTCTACAGTTTTACTGTTTTATTTTATTATTTTAATTAATTCAGAAATATACAGAAAACATCAAATAATAAAAAATATAACAAAGAAATTGATAAACCAAACGGGAAAAACACTTTAACATTATTTAAAACATCTATACAGGAAAAAATTATTTATAAATGATCTATAAATTTTTATAACTCAATTCTATGGGAGAAACACCATCAAAAAGTAAACCTGTAACCATTCAGAAGAATGTCACTTAAAGAGCGTTTTGCAACACAACAAATGAAGATTATATTCCAGGGGTTAGCTGGACTTCAAGCACTCAAGACAGTACCAAACAAAAAAGCACTCAAAGAACAGCCACCGAGTCTGTTTATACCACTGATATTATTGTTAATGGCATTCAAGAAGATATTATAGTGGCAGGGAGTAAGGAAGACCTACCACCACCTCAAGAGTATTATCCATCAAATGAAAACATGAAATCTAATTATAACATCTACGTCGTGTTCGTTGATAGTACCACAAATGAACTTGGCAAAGACGACATTGATTATCTCACAAACTACATTAAATTTATTGTACCCGCACTTGAAGATCCAGAAGATTATCAATTCGGAGAATTTGAATTCGCACATTTTTTTGGTGCAGAATTTGGTTGCACTTTTTTTTATAACACCAACAAATCCAACACCCATTACCATCCAGAAATTGAAAAGGAATTTGAAGGAATGTGTCTCAACTTTGCTATTGGTGATATCAATGAAGAGAGTGTCAGTCGAATAATTCAAAAGACGATCACTGCCAAATGAAGTGGTTTTGCTGGAAGATGTTTTGGAGGAAAACCAGTCATTTTGTTGTATGACGAAAACGACGCAAAAGGTGAGTTGGACGTCTCACTCAAATTTGAAGGAATGGAACTCACTGAAGTCTATCCAAAGACAGAAAATACAAAAAACGCACTGAAATGGACGGTAAGATATTTGGGAAGAGGGACAGAACTGTGTGTTTTAACAATTGAAAACGGGGAATACGAATACCTCTTTTGGGAGAGTCTTTTTGATGTCAAATTAGAAGGTTTTGATGTCAAAGTAAATGATCTGAGTAAAGTCGACAAATTGATGGAAAAGCTTGGATTGAACATGAAAGAAAGAAACAACTTTGTTGTGTATTGGTTGAAGGAGATGAAAAAGTTCCAAAAGATGTTTGTCAGAATAGTTGACAGAAAACAATACGAAAAGTTGGTTCCACTGAACATGAAAGGTTTCGACAACGTGATGAGAGTTTGTTGGGTTTGGTGAGTGCCAAGAAGGAAACGAATATTTAAGTGTGCAAGAAGTCTAAAGTGTTAAAAGACCACAAGGAAAGTATGTTATTGAATGGGGAGCAACTCTCATTTAATAATAATTTTGCAATAAAATCCGTTTTTAAAAAGGTATTTTTAAAACTTAAATAAAATAAAGATATTTTTATTAATTTGGAAATTATAATAAATTGTATTAACTATTTTAATAAATCAAACAAAAAAAGATGAGAATAATCGATAGAAACGTTATTTTAATTAAATTAACCTTACGATACTGTTACTGTTTAATATAAAACCAGATTTAATCTTTTTTGAACTTGATATCATATACAAAAAACTTAAATTGTGGCGACTATTTGAAATGTAAACAGTATACAAACAGGGTCTATCAAGTGACAAAAGTGTTTTTTCTTTGTTATTTGCCACGTCACCAAAGTGGGCTTGAATTTATGTTCACTTAGTTCTTTTAGATCCAGCGGCGAGCTTAAAGCCGACTTTTGTAAATGAAAAAATTTAGAAATAGATAGTTATTTGAATCAATATTTGGCAAAATAATGGGAAAACAAGCCAATTCAATTCTTAAATATGGGTTTATATTTTGTTACTGCTGTGATTGCCATAATTAACACAATAATTGTGACAAATACAGCACTGTTTTACACATCAACCCGATAGTTACAAATAACATTTTAATAACACAAATAACAATGAAATAACAATCTATTAAATAATTATATTTTTATTATAATATGTAATAAAATAAACCTATTCAACTAAAAAATAAACCAAAAAACCAATAACTAATAATTAAAACTGCTATAAAACAACTAATAATATTAGAGAAATGTATATTATCATATTTATATTTAACGTTATTAACTAAATATATATATTTTAAAACTATATTAAATAATAATAATACAAACTCAAAAATTCTAAAATATCTGTTAATTATAAAAAATACTATATAACATATAATATCAATACTATATTTTTAAACTATACAAATCTAAACAATGTATTAATAATTAATTAAATTGTTTAGTACATGATTTATATTTATAACTATAAACTTATAGTTTAAATAATCATATATTTATTATTATTGTGTAATGAACATTTAAATATTAGGATAGCTATGTCTAATAAATCGGGCATTTTATTTAGAAACGTTATATAATCAAAAGCAGTTATAGGACAAAATAATTATTTACTCTCAATAATAAAAATCAACTAAAACTATATATTAAAATATCAATAAAAATAGTTAAAAGACACACATTTTGAAATATAGTTTATTTACCCAAAAATGATAGGTAATAAATACATCATTTATCGGGATCGATAACATTTCAATAACATAAATACAAATACTAAAAGAATAACAATTTGAAAAACAAAATTTATAAAACATTAACATATTTTTGTAATGACAATTTTTTAAAATACCATTTGAATTTCAAAATAGAATTAATATTAAAGACCTTTTAATAACAACCCAAATATAACAAATCACAACAAATAAAAACCATCCAACGATGACAAATAAATCAAAAGAGGTTCAAAATTTACAATAATAATTGTCAGAACGTGATACACACAACGCAAATTATAACAAAATCAACTTTGCCATGAAACAAAACAAAGTTAACAATCATATTTTTTTCACGCCAAAAAAATAAAAACGTTCGTGAGTAAAAATAATTCAGTGTTTTTTATGATCATTTTTGTATAGATTTGAACTGTTTTGATTTTTTTGATTGCAACAAACCGATTTGACAAAAAAAACATAAACATTAATTTATATAGTTTGGTTTTTAGTAAAATTTACTAAAATTGAAACTATATATTTTATAAAAAAATTCTAACACTTTTACTATATTAATTGAAATAAATAAATTATACTATTATAATTATAAACAATTAGAAAATAAACAAATACATTCAAATTGATTTAACTATTTGGTACACAGTTTAACAAAGTCTTTGAATTTGTTTTGCCAGCCTAGCCTTGTTTGATTCATACTAAATCTACATCCGTCTTTTTGGATCGATTCACCCTATTCCAATTAATGTTGTCTAGGAACCTTTCTCCCTTCAGTCCTTAGATATTTTTTTCCTCTTCTAAGTATTTGCTACTTCCACCAAGATCAGAACTCAAGTCTGTTTCAATAGAAATTACTTTTGACCTTTATTACTCACGTATGCTTGACACTGTGTATTTCCTTACTCCTCGTGTGCCTCAGCCTCCACAAGGATACATTATCACCTCTCTCATTTTATTACCTTCCTTTTTCAAGGCTCATCCATTCTGTAAATGAGTTGTTACACTTTTCTAAAAATTTACAATTTCAATGGCAAATTTTCTGTCAATATTAATAAATATTTTCAATGGTTCTCCTCATGCAAGACTTGGATACTTTATCTGTATGTTCGGTTCATCCCGCATCGCCAGTCCTGCTTACCAGACTTGGCCGATTTGAAGTCCCATATGCTCACTCCTAATAAATTAGTATATTTTTAAATATCTCGACTATTCATAGTTTGTTAAATTGTTGAAAAATCAAACTGTCCATCATATGTAATCATTGTCTTTACCAATCGTCACTACTTTCTCACTTCAACCTTCCTAAGGGAATATTCAGGTGAAACCAGCTACTAGATAGTTCAATTAGTCTTTCGCCCCTATACTCATATATTGCAAGTAATTTGCATGTTAACACTCCTAAGTCCTTCCACCAAAGTTTCCTTCGGCTTCAAACACCACAAGCATAGTTCACCATCTTTCGGGTCCCAACAGTTTAACTCTATCCTTTCCTGGGTGACTCCTGCCATATGTTTGGTCCTTCGTTTTCGCTTCATATCTGGGTTTTCTTCCCTTCCTATTCGCTCCGATGTTAACCCTCGTGGAGAAACTAAAAATGTTTCTATAAACCACGAGGGTTATATTTCAATTATTAATCTTTGTCAAATATTTTTTACAGATCATCTATTTATATTGTGTTTTTTCGTTGTATTCTTGGTTTGTTTCGATTTATATTTATAAAATGGATTTTTTCAATGTAAATAAAATAAATATTTTAATCAAAATAACAAATAAAATGTTGTCTGGATTGTTTCTCAAAATAAAAACGAAAAACTTATTTTTTTCTAAAACACAAAGTTAATTAATAATACTCGAAACAAAGATTGTTTTTAACACTGGATAAAAAACTTGGTTTTTAATATACAAATTTTATTTTAGTCTTAATTCAACAAACTATTTATTATGGTAATGTAACCATTGTTATTAATTTATTTGCTCTTCAAAAATTAAGTAAAACATGACTGTTTTATTGATAAAAATATTTAATTATTTACAACAAAACAGTGTTATTTTTTATGAAAAACACTCTATTTAAAAAGGACAACCCAATTTTATCAAATGCCATCACAAATTAAAAATACTTTAAAAAGCCCGTTTGTTGGTATTTTTATGTTTAAATTAAATACAATTGTGCAAAAAGAATTATCAATTGACAATGAAAACAAACTCATTTTGGAATTTGGAATTTATATTTAGTCAAATAAAGCATCGAAAAAATATAATTAATAATCAATTAAAATAAACTATAATAAAACCATCTTTTTATCTTTCTATTTAACTAAAAACAACAACATTTTTTTAAATTAATCTTTTTTAAGCATCTTTTCAACTTAATAAAATGGTAAAAGGTTTTATTTTTTAAAGTAAAATATATATAATATCAAGCTATTTGTTCATTTGTGGTAAAAGAGAATTATTTTTATCTTGTTATTACAAAAATACTTTTGTAAATTTATCGACTATAAAACTGTGGAATTATTTCCAAAATAAATATCATGACCCAAATATGTTTTTTTACAATTTATATACAAATAAAAAACGCATTTCTGAACAAAAAATAAATTTATGTTTTTATCAAATTACAAGATATACAAGATATATTATATTATAATCCATAATAATCCATAATAATATATTATTATGTATATTATACATAATAATATAATATATTTTATTCAAATAAAGAAAAAAGGACATAGGGAAGAAGGATGGGAATATAGGGGAAAAAGGTAATTTGTGTGTTAGGGACGTCCTCCCGTTATCAAGGACGCCCTCCTGTGTATAAAATTATACTTTTTGTTGTGTCTATTGTGTTTTTAAAACTATATAAAAAAATATATTTTTATTATTAATTTACTATAATTATTTCCAAAAATACATTTAATAATGGACAAACACAAAACAACAAGTACTTTTGTTACAAATTAATAGTTAAAAACTAATTCAAATTAAAATTAATTTTTTTGGGTCACTTCGAATAACTTTGCAAAGATAAGTAAATCACATAAGTCGACCTCTTCTATCTTTGATCCCTTTGTGTCGCTCTTCTTTGCACCCTGTTGTTGTGCACCAGACATGTTACCAGTTTTATTCTGTCGATATCTGTATGAAGATTGGCTTGATCTTATCCTCAGCTTCTTCTGTTTCTGTGTGTATTCATCTTTTGATGCTGATTGGTTCTTGTCGAGCCAGTCGAGTATCTCCTTGATAATTGCTGCCTTGTCGTCTGGTGAGAGCTTTGCTGCAATTTGTTCGTTGAGTGTGTTTTTCATCGAGTAACAGAAATTCTCAAGTCCATTCTTCCCCTCAATAAGTTCCTTTATCTTGTCGTCCTCTGCCTTGAACTTCTCTGCGTCTGCAACCACCTTGTTGATTGGTACCTTTGAGAGTTTTCCCTTGTCGTTTGTGATTGTGATCTTGTTCTTCTTTCCTGTTGTTTTGTCTTCAGCTGACACATTCAGAACACCTTCTCGACTGGTGCGATTGTCGACTTGAAGAAGTCGATGTTGAGTTCTTCAAAACGTGCTCTTGTGAGTGACGTGTAGAAGTCGATGCCTTCATACAACTGGTCGACTTCGATGTTTGCTGTTGCTGCCGATGACGGTGTTCGCCCTTTCACACGATGTTCTGAGTCTTCTGACAGCTCGTGCATTGCCTGAAATGTCTTTCTTGTACTTTCTCTTGAACTCGGCAATGAAATGGTTGACCATTCTGTTATCAAAGTCTTCGCCACCAAGGTGTGTGTTGCCGTTTGTTGCCTTCACTTCAAAGACGCCATCGTCAATAGCAAGAGATGACACATCAAATGTTCCACCACCAAGATCAAAGATCAAGACGTTCTTTTCTTTGTCGACCTTCTTGTCGAGTCCGTAAGCAATAGCAGCGGCAGTTGGCTCATTGATGATTCTGAGCACATTGATGCCTGCAATTGTGCCCGCGTCCTTTGTTGCTTGTCGCTGTGAGTCATTGAAATAGGCTGGACATGTGATGACTGCGTTGTTGACTTTCCCATTAACAAAAGCTTCTGCTGTCTCCTTCATCTTCGTCAGCACCATCGAACTGATCTCCTCTGGTGTGAACTTCTTAGTCTCTTCTTTGTATTCCATTTGAATAGTGGCTTGTCATTGCCATCGTTGACGACAGTGAATGACCAGTGCTTCATATCCTCTTGTGTTGTTGGATCACTAAAGCGTCTTCCAACCAGTCTTTTTGCATCAAAGACTGTATTCTTCACGTTCATCGCAATCTGGTTCTTTGCTGCATCGCCAATAAGCCTCTCGCTGTCTGTGAGGCTTATTTTTAACAAGTCTCCTTCAGTTTCAAACGACTTGTTATAAATTTCTTTTAAATGGGTTATCATTGTAAAACATATTTTTCTCAAAAAGTAAACCTACTTGATTTGATAAACTTGTTTGATTTAAATAAAAGTTTTTATTATACAATTAAATTTATTATAAATTATATTATAAAATTAAATTATAATTATTTAGTATATTAAATAATTAAAATTAGTTATTGTATAATTAATTACCCATAATATTAAATTATGTATATATCTATTAATTTATAGTATATCTCTATTTGAAATAGAGGGTGAGGTTTAGAAAAAGGATGTCGGTTGATTCCTTAATCATTCCAATAGCCCTCCTTCCTGCCCGTTCACGGTGATGGGTGGGTCGTTTTATAGTTTTATTTGATATTTATTATATATAAATGATTTTATTATAGGAAAACCCCTTCCCGAAATATTACGGTTTTTAAAACTGTTTTATCAATAAAAAAACAACCCGAAATATTTGAGTTTTTTTGACTGTTTTATATATTAAAATATTCATTTAAACAAATCAAAATCAAAAATGGTAATTAGTTTTTTAGAGCATCCCCAACATCCATGTAAGCAACTTTCTTTTCAACGCTCATGTTTGCTCTATCAAGTTGTCCAATTTTATTAAAAGATCTTTCAACTGGGCAAGTGGTTGGACTCTTAGCATTCATCTTTTTCACAAGATTGAATAAACATGGGAATTGATTCTTTTCTTCTTGACTCATCAGAGCAAACAAGGTGTTCAAAGTTAATTTTTTGACCGGGCAACTCTTTAAGAAATCTTCTGCTTTTTTTGAATAAAGCCCTTATTTGCTTTCTGTGTTGAATGGCGTTTGCTCTCTTTTCTTTAACAATTTCACTACTGCTGCAATCTTCAGCGATATCTGTTGCTTCTGTTTGATCCGTACTTGTTAATCTCACTTGTTTAACAAGAGTACGTATTGCTTCATTAGCATCAGCCCTTTCTTCCCTTTCCAACCTGTTTGCAATTTCTTCGACTTTTTCAATGTTGACACAGTACCAATCTTGAAACTTTGTAACTTCCGCTTTTAGTTCTTGGTCATCACTTTCCTCGAATGATTTTGCATAAAAGTTGTTGTAAATTTTGATGTTTATTACCAATTCTTTTCCTTTGAGTTTTCTTTGTAATTTCCCGAAATTTGCCATATTCGTTCCTTTGACCCGGTTCTCCTTCAACAATCCAGCATCGAAGAGGTCTTCTTTGGTCATTATTCTTGAAGGAATTGCAAACCTCAAAATCAACGCGTCACCCAACTTAACGAGCAGGTGAATTGAATACTTTTTCAAAATGAATTTTTCGTTGTCGTCAAGATCTTCAGTGTATTTCATTTTTTCTAAATAATCGGTTAACACCACTTTTCGTCTGAGCTCGAAGATATTTGAAATTAAATCTTCAACACGTTGATAGGCCACGGGGTATAGTAAATTGACGGTCTGTAGCCAATCATTAATTATCTTCACCTTACTGAGCACTATTTGAGTGAAGAACATACATGCAACAAACAATTTGCAGTTGACATTACACTCACCCATAATGTTGCGAGGTCCAAAAGGCTTTTGGTATTGTTCTCTTTCACTGTAAAATTCTTGAAGTGAAGGCAGATTCTCAAACATATTATCAAGAATTAATACTGTTTGGAGCCACCTTGTTTCGGATCGTTGAACCAATTTGAGAACTGCACCTTTGATATGATTTTTGGCACAGAATTGATCCCACGCTGTTCTTGTTGTCTGAACTGTTAACCCGTCCAAGAAACTTTCAATAGCCAGCCCCCATTGCGATTCAAAACACCTTTCAGTTGCTTTATTTGTTCTATGTGAAAAGCAGTAGTTTGAATCAAATCCGTTCAGCCCGTCTCTCTCTTTTATTTTAGCTAGGAGTTTACCAGAGAGCCCACCATTTCGTATCAGAACATAAGCTCCATCAAAACAAGCACCAATGCATTTAATGAGGTCAGCATCCATCAATTCCAATATTTTCATTATCCAACTGAGCCACTACGCAGCATCTGTTT